GATAGATAGATAGATAGATAGATAGATAGATAGATAGATAGATAGATGATAGATAGATAGACAGAGGGAGGGAGGGAGGGAGGGAGGGAGGGAGAGGCAAAGGGAAAGGGAGGGAGAGTTAGAGGGAGAGAGAATGCAGAGAGAGAGAAATGTAAAGAACTCTATAAGAAGGTCAAGCTGACCTCTGTTTGAAATCAGCATAAACGATCCTACTGGGAAATCCCTTTCTGCAAATGCGGATGCCTTCCAGCACACCATTGCACCTCAGCTGATGCAGCACAAGCTCATGATCCATAGCACCTTTTTTAAAAAAATGATTAAAAAAAGAATTAGGACCAAACCACATACAGAGACAAGCATTGTAAAATACCTATCATACCCGCCCCCCACAATGCCTTACCAGGTGTTTTTGTTTCATTGGGAATAATGCAACGCACAAAGTGTGGGTGAGTACTTCTCAGATTGCTCATCAGTTTGTTTAAGTTCTCCTATAGATCCAGAAAAGAAATATTTCTGTACAGAATTCCAAACAAATCAATGTATTCCTGTAAAGGAAAATCATGTATCCAAATAAGCAGGTCTATTGAATGCAAATAAATTCTAGCCATTGGGTGGGTTAAAAATAAGATAAACAATAGCGTCCACTCCACAAAGATCTAACATATGCAGCTAAAGTATTATTTGATGTTTGGGCTACTGTCACGTATACTTGCAAAGTAACTTTGAACCAAAGTACAGTTCCAGTGTAATATTAGCTCATTTGCTTGCTATATAAATGTTCATCATGGGACTTGTCTACATATGTCTAGCTGGATATTGATGGCCTAAGTGCATATGGCTTCTTTGGGAACTTTAAAGAAGTACTAGGCTTAACACCTCAGAACTGTAAGCAAAATAGTATACAAAGCATCACTATACTTCTGTGATTTTTAGTTTCAGCACTGATTTTGTTCTACCAGCCAATAATATTCCATACACTTTCTTTATATCTGAATTATCCAGAAGCATGCAAAGACTTATTTTAAGTTGCGAATTCTACAAATTCAGTCCAAGTCAATATCTTTCTTAAATACCCAAATAAGTTGTCGCATTATTACTACATAGTATTTTTCCTTCCTCTCAAAGGAATCCCAGTATAACATTATACCATACCCTGAACAGTGCAGACACAGTCTGGAAAGAAGAACCCTTCTTCTTGGCAGCCTTCTTGGTAGTGCCCTCTAAAATCAAAACGAATAGAAAATATATATATAAACCTTACATTTCTTGAACATTTTTTCTCATTCAAGAAAAAAAAATCCTTTCGTTATAGCTCTCACCTTCTGCAGGGCGGTCAGCAAACAACAAAGCTAAAGTCTTCATTGAGGATTTTTGGTAGAGCCCCACTACGGTGTCATTCAAGGGATCCTTGTTTTTCTCCAACCAACCAGTGATATTATAATCCACAGTGCCAGCATAGTGCACCAAGGCAAAGTGGGCCTCCGGCTTGCCTTTGACAGGCTTGGGTTTTTGGAAGTTGTTTGATTTGCCAAGATGCTGGTCATAAAGTTTGTTCTTGAAGGACATGTCTGTTGCCTTAGGAAACATGCACTCTTCTTCCAGGATGGAGAAAATGCCCATGGGCTAGAAAGAACAATGACATGGTTGCTTCATCAAGTATATATACACACACAAGTAAAATCAGAGCAGAGGTGTTGAAAAGAAACAAAATGTAAATACGGAGGCACACTCTCTCACTGAAAAGTAGACTACATCTTCTAAATTATACTTCAATGAGCAATTATTAATACCTAACAAGATTTCATACTTACTATAAGGTACATTCTACATATACATTTATTTTTATGTCAAGAGTTGGTTTGAGCATGTTATTATAAATTGATTAGGATCCTGCTCTAATTGTATTTATTCTTTCTTAGGTTGTCCTTCTAATAAAGCCATTAGAAAAGCTGAGAGCTAAACTTTCTAGAAAAATAATAACAAAGGAAGGGAAGCAGTCAAAGACTGTAATGGGCAGGATAAAACAAGATGATGGTACATGTAGGGATTTTCATCAATTATTTTTGAGAGAAACCTAAAGCATTTTTTATCCTATCTGAAATATGCATTAGTTAAGTCTACTATAAAATGGACCTTCTCAATGAGTTCAATGCAGGCAGCCAGGTCCATTCCAAAGTCAATGAACTCCCATTCAATTCCTTCTTTCTTGTACTCTTCTTGCTCTAGGACAAACATGTGATGGTTGAAAAACTGTTGCAGTTTCTCATTGGTGAAGTTGATGCAGAGCTGTTCCAAGCTGTTGTACTATAAAAAAAGAAGAGAGTTTTGTTAAGATGAATTAAGATGAAATAAATTTGAGTAAAGCAAACACTGTTCCTCCTATCTGTTTATATGTACATCTTTCTCCCTGTTTCCTTACATCAAAGATCTCAAAGCCGGCAATGTCCAGCACGCCAATGAAATACTGTCTGGATTGTTTGGTATCCAATTGTTGGTTGATGCGAATGACCATCCATAAGAACATCTTCTCATAAACGGCCTTACCCAGAGCACCAACATTATTGTAGACCTAGAATAAGAAGACAATGGCAAAATCAATATGCGTAAGGGATATTTTAAATTAATAATTCTTCCAATCTTATATATAGTGTACTAGGTCAATACCTGTGCTTTGCTATGAAATTATGTGGTAGGACTTAGTTTTGGGGGAGGAAAATAAGGGGGAGGGATTCTGCCACTGCCTACCAGCATCCATCGGTATTGATCTGGCTAGCCTCCTGTCAGTGTGTGAGAGAGTTGAGAGCTGTTTGGAAACTGAAACAGTATTTGCTATGTGAGCAAGAAGGAGACAGCAAGGTGGATTAGCTCAACTGTTCTATGCTAAAGCTGTTTGGTGCTGTGAAACTAAAACTGAAACTCCTCTCCTCTGCTTGTGTTTTGCATTTCGAACAGATTTCCTTTCAGGTGGGGAGGGGGAGTAAAACTCCTTAGCATCTGAGCGTGTTAATACCATAATAATATATGAAATACTAATGCTATGATGGTCATTTTGAAAAATCCTTTCTTAGTAAATACCAAGAAGCCAAGAGGAACATACGTGCCAAATTTCAAGTTTGTAGGCTTTACGGTTCTGGAGATTTTGTGATGATGCATGATTGGTTTTTCACTTTTATATATATAGAAGATGTATGTCTGTGTATACACACACACACACACACATGTGCGTGTGTGCATGTCAGAGAAAGAAAGATGAAAAACAACTAAAGATATAGCAATAAAATCTGAAAAAAATATGCAAAAAAAGCTTATTCGTATGAAATAAGCTTTGTAGAAACTAAAAACATATCCATAAAATATTTATATAGATCTAGCTCAATCATTTAATATAGTTTTAAATTTATCCATACAGATCATCTAGTGCTCCACCTTCCCAATTTGGGTACAATTGCTTATTTCAGTTTAGTTATAATTATCTAAGAAACTTAGATTCTTGATGGTCTATTATTCAGGTGCCTTAGTCTATTGAATACAGATAAGAAAGAAGAATGAATTTTATCATTATTAATTACCATTTTGAATATTGATATTACAAGTATTATAATTATAAATCCATTCATCTTGGAAGAGGCCAGGGTTTGTGAGAGTTGGTTTAAAGTAACATTACCTGCTGGACAGTTTGGCCTTTGGTGACATATTCATTGCCGACCTTGACCCGGGGATAGCACAGAGCTTTCAACAGATCTGCTGAGTTGAGATTCATGAGGTAAGCAGCCTTATCAGCAACTGAAAATAGACAAGAAAGAGTTTAGGATTAGAGTATTTTTTATTATAAATCTCATGCAGCATGGAATAGTTAAGTAATGAACATCAAAATCAGACTGGAAAAAGTACAAAAGAGACTTTTGGTTAGCATTGGCTGAGTTCTACTTGCCCAATACTGGGAATGTTCATTCTCTAAAATTATAGCTTCATTTACCAAAAAGTGATTTTTGGAAAAGAAGAAAAAAGGTTACAAGAGTATTTACTATAATATCAGTAAAAATAATGGAAACTTCCTCCTTGTTAAATACTAATAAATAGATGAAAGCATAATATTTTATGGTCTACTATCTACTCCAAATGATCAATATGAGTATCCTTCTAGAAAACACTAGGGAAGCATGGGGTGTGTTTCTGTAAAATAATGCCCTAATTTGTTCTGATTATTTTAAATGATTTTGCCATAATTTTTTTCAAATACCTTCTGTGCCATCTGGTTCAGCCTGCTCCTCTCGCTGCTTCTGCTTGAACTTCATGTTCCCATAGTGCATGACGGCTCCTGTCAGCTTGTAAATGGCTGTCTTTTCCTCAGCAGTGAAGCCCAGGATGTCAATGGCTTCCTATTAATTCAAGCAATAGAAAGGATTCTGTCTAATCCAGCACTGAGCCAAGTTGAGGGTTCAAACTCACTTGAAATCATTTTGGCATTTGCAGTAGCCTTTAGTTGTCTCTGCCAGTGTTCCTCTTGGAACATTATGCCACTCATCATATGCCCAAATCCCACACATACTCAAACATTTAAACCAAATATTATTGTTTGTCTAATCAAATTACAATTTTATGTTCCCGATTCTGCAAATTACGTACATCAGTTGCCATTAATTCTTCCTGATCATCAATGCTGGGAACAGTAATCTCACCCTGGCTGACAAAATGGTAGTCATATGGGTTGGTAGTAATCAGAAGCATCTCTGCATAAAAAGAAGCACAAACATGATTTCATTTTCAATCATCAGCACATTTGTAATGT